CTGCGAATGAATGTATCGCTAGCTACTGGCTAAAAAAAGCAAACAGCGAATAATTCAACCTTCTATCACAAACAACAGGCCTTATTTATCAAATTAAAGTAGTTTTGGTCGGGCTCAAAAGTCACAGGTAGGAGTGAAGGTTTTCCTTTATTTTGTTGTCATAATTGTACAAATTAAGGTTATATTTTAGTTCTTTAGTTGTCCCAAAAGGTAGTTGAATGAAATATGTCCTCCATTTTCAGTCTGCAGACGTATTTAGGAACCAAGAACAACTCTCATTGGTACCATACCTACCCCGTGACTGACCTTCCGATCGCCCATATATAGTCGACGCGTCCTTTGGACCCCTTGCTTTACTATTGTCCTCTCGGAAAGTACGGGTAAAGTGTACCCCTACGAATTTTACCATATAAGTTGAGTGGCCAATAAAGTTATAGTTTTGTAAAACGAGTGTTTGTCGAGAGCTCTACCTTCGGGAACTACGTACCAGGTCATGGCCAGTAGGCTGTGACAATAGTACAACAATTTCTCATAATTAGAGTTAGTTAGCATGAACCATAGCGTAGTCGTGACTGCTTGACAACTAAGCCTTTAAGTGTTAGTGGTCGCTATATGGAACACGGTTCTTAAGGTAAAAAATTGTGCACATGATCAAGCAATTTTAAGCCTAGGTGAAAGCTAATACTTCCTGAACCCGCAGTATCTACGCTCGAGATCACTTGCTGTCCTGGTGGCATTTCACCGATAAGTGGTTCCACCTTTATATTAAAAGAATGATTTGTTGCAAATTTCCCAAAGGTTGCAATTTTCTTGATTTTTCGTCTGGTGTTACAAGAAAGTAATAAAATTTGTGAATCGTGCCTGTTAGTATACTTTGTGACGGGTAAGTAAAATAATTTAAATTAAAATTTGAATTAATTTTTACCTTCAGATGAAGAAAATATATTATTAATTAATTAATTTAATTAATTAATTTTTACCTTCAGATGAAGAAAATATATTGATAGGAAATCCAAGCTAAAAAATTTTTTGACTGATCTTTTTATTGAAATAAACGGAATATTTGTAAGGAGCAAATATATTACCTATGACTATTAGCTTTGCATATAATAATCCAATAACAATAGCATATTGGTCGTGCGCAGCATGACTGACAGACATTTATGAAAACTAGCACAACTAACATAACAGCAAAAAGACTGTAACTCAATCTTTATTTTTTTGTATGTCCCAGGGGATTCTAAATTAATTAGTTGAAAACAACCTAGAGCGAGTTAATTTATGCAATGTAGAAAAATAATTGTGCTCTTATCGTGGGGAAGGATCGACCATTGGGGAATGAAATGTACAACGTATTGGCTTATGAAATAGGAACTGGGAACGACAGTACTGACGTTTTCATATATAATTTTAACTTTCATTTATGTCACATTTTAGGTTTATTTATTTCTGTTTTTTAGAACTGTCTTATTAATATAGTTAACGTATTGCAGGTTTCGGGACCCAAGGCTGCTTTTTTATGGATTTTTTGATACAAGGTGATTTTGCAACAGTTGCATTTTGGCACATCCTTTGTAGGTCGGTTATTCCTTAATTTATCAAAATGTTGAAAACTGGTCTGGATAGAGTTGTTTTGCGTAGGATCCAATAGAGTAGTCAATTTTCTACTGAAACTCACAATTTTTTATACATAAACAAAACTTGTGTATTTTCAATTGAACACCCTATATGACTAGCTTTGTTATCCAGATCATTTTTCATCATTTCGATAAGTTAACGCTTAACCGACCTAATATGCAACATAAAAAATCACTTCGTATTTAAAAAAATAAAAGAAATAGTATACCCTTACGCGGGATATTTTATGTTCGCCAACAGACTTTGCAAAATCAATTACGAGAAGCTTTTATCATTCCGGAAAAGACTCTTTCAAAGCCCCACAATGGCGCCTAGTAGGTTAAAGCGTATCCACTGAATTTCATTAAATTATTTTTAAAAAATTAAAAGCCACTTTTTATGGATACCATATTTCCATTTGCGTTGCCAGGAAACTACAAAACATCGCTTCCTACGGGATTATACAACCTCCACCATTCTCTTCGTTTTTATTCGTGTTATTTATATATCTATATCGTATAAATATAATATTGATTATCGCAGAGTAAACGTTAGCGCTTTTGTTTGTATTATATTAAATGTTCTTTGATGTCTAACCGCGATTATTGGCGACGCATTGGCGTGGAAATTATATTTCCGAGTTTTTCATTTGACTCAAACCAGTAAATTTTGTTTTCAATGCTCTAACTTCTGAAGCTTCCTATATTTGTGATTTCTCTCCGCACTTTAATATTCGGTAACGAATTTAGACCAGAGCCTGTTGCATCTAAACTGTCTACACCGGCTGTCCTACTTGGCATGGCAGCACCTTACATGCGGATAAGTCACAACTTCCCTTGAATTGGTGGTACCTATGCCTTGTTTTGTTGTAGCAGTTGACGAGCGACAGACACCGATATTTTTAAAATGTGTAGGCTGAACGATGATTATCAACGTTTAGATATTTCCATCAATTTAACATAATTATATAGTTGCTAAAAATTACTTTTTACATCGACCTTTATCTCTACTACTTTTAAAGAACTTGGCTTTTTACGTTTATTAATTATTTCCTTTTTTTCTGGGTCAAAAAAATCTGGTTTGTAAGTTGTTAGTTATATCTAAATGACTTTGGCTTTTCAAAATTAGTTCATCATCAAGGATATTTTTAGCTTTATTCTAGAATTTGTTATATATGTTGATTATAATAAATAATAAATTCCTCGTTTCCTTAGTGGCAGTCGGAGTGCTGACTAAGAATCTGTTTTAATTATTTTCAACCAAAATCAATAATAAAATTACTGGATTGAGCAGCCCTAGGTCTTAAAATATTTTTAGTATGAACAGTGAATAAACAATAATCTTGGGCTTTGGATCATGATTTGTACGTTTATTTACATTAGGCTGATTAGAATACCATTTATCACAAACCAGACACATAACACCCATTTTTAAAACACAATTGCGAATTAAAAAGGAAGAACAATACCAATAAAACGACGTTATAGACACGACCAATCAAATCATGGAATGTAACTTGTGATTCAGCCGCTCGTCAGCACCTTGTTTATTTCTCGGGCGGTGGTTTTAATTAGGTGGGGTGTATATTGGCTTAAGTATGTTTCATTGGAGTTTGAATTGTTTCTCACTCACAAGAATAGAAGATGTTCATATAATTCTGTAGATTGCTGTGACTGACAATTACAGATTTACTTTGACATATTGCTAAGCGATATTGATCAATACTGATAAGTTATTGACACAGTTATTATTGTTATTAAAATAATATTTCGCCAGCATTCGTGAAAGAATGTGCTTCAAGTATTCTATCAGAGTAATAAGAGTAATGTTCTTTTACCTAATCCTATCCAAAACAACGCTTATGTGATTTCATCATGCAAAAAAGAGTGTAAATTAGAAACTTAATTGGGCAACGAAAAGATCCCTTTTTCCCACAATATAAAATTATTTGGCCTATACATTGATACAACTCTTAACCGCAAAACAATACTGTGAATACCTAATATCAAAATTCAACTTCCAAAGTTATGTTCTGCGAAAACTAAAATCAGTTCTAAATATCGCAAACCTGATTCAGATTTATTTAACGAATATTGATGCAATGTTACGATATGATGTCCATTTCTGGTATTGGTCAAATTTCGCTGGTAAACGAAAAATTCGTAGTTGTAGAGATTATTTAAAAAAATATATTATTTTAACTGTAACGTCTTTGTTTCTGTATGAAATTAGAAAAACAAGTGATATAAATAATTTAAATACTAGAAGTAGTTCTAACCTCCGCATAAATATTTGCAAATCGAAATCGGCTTTCCTTTCTCCCCGAAAAGTAACATAAAGGCGTGCAGATCTTTAAAGCTTTTCAAAGTTACATTAAAAAGCTTTTTATTAGGAAAACTTTCTATCGTGTGGAAGATTATTTACAAATTTCATCATAGAGTCCGTGCATCATTGTTGTTTTTTATTTTAGGTTACTACGGCGTCATGAACATTGAGAGTGCGTTTGGCGAATGTGAACTGAAAAGCACTTTTTTTTTCGTTTTTTGCACTTAAACTGCATTAAAGTTGTTTCATTATGTATTTACATATAAAATAAAATAAAAAACGCTGAAACACGTGTTTCTTCAAAGGGTGAGATTTACCCTCACAGTTTAGATAGGGAAGGCGGATTTACAGGCACCTCTTTTTAAAGTTTTGTGTTATACCCTTACAAATAAGTTAAAATTTTAAAACTTTTTCGTTTATTTCTTGAGATATTACTTGAAAGGATAAAATACAGCAAACAAGAAACAATTTCCAAAACATTTAAAAATTGTCATATTACTTTCATGGTAAAATAATTTTAAATTAAGTGGACTGACCGACCCTTAATTGGCTTATTCAAGTACTTGATCCAGATAAGTTCACTACGACAAATGATGCACATTTCAATCAAATACTCAAAGCGCTCACCATGTTCTTCCGTGCAATTCTATATTGCGTGAAATAAAGCATTTTTAAAATAATAAAAAATTTGCTGAACTACTGACAAAATCGATTCACATTTACTACTCCCTGCATCGAACTTAAAAATACTGAAATAATGAAATACAATTGTTAAAAAAAACAAAAGATAAACTGCCAAATATAAAAAACAGAAAAAAAAAACTACCTACATCTTAATAAAGTTTTTTCGATTTTTTGACCCAATTTTCTAAGTAGTTAGCTACTTACCTGTCTAAACTAACTTAAATATAACTCCGCCTTGCCTATCTAAATTGTAGGGGTAAATCTCACCCCTTAAAGGAGGACGTGTTTCAGCGTGAGCGTGAGCCATCTACAAAAATTTACACCCAGTGACTGTAAGGAACTAGCGGTTTGAGTTCATTTATGTCGGATTCAGTTCTCTTTTTTTTTTTCAAGTTTATTTATCGTTTTATAACGCGTATATAATAATCAAGCAATAATAATAAACTATACAAGTGAAACACCACGTCGCATAAAAATCAGACGTTCATGACAGAAAACATTTCCAATTGCCTAAGCAATCGATAAGTTTCGCACGAGGTTTGCTCGCCCTTAGGCGATGGTGAGTAGTCCATATTATAAAAAAATGAACGACGTATCGTAAAACGAGTAGCCCGATGCCCTTGTATAGGCCGCCGGCGCCCTCCTCGGCGACACATTTCGCGCAACCGTCCATAAACCCTTCGTAGTCCGTGAAAGTGCTGACCACAAACTGACCATCGTCGATATTATCGATGAGGGTTGCCGTACACTGCAAATTGTCAATTAATTTTGGTTAATTAAGGGTATCTTCCGTTATTCATTGAGCTACAGGGCTGTGAAACTTACATACTGCTCTTAGTTCATGAGATACCGGGTAGTTTTGAAAGATTTAATTTTTAGGACCACTTCAAATTGCAATTGTTGTTGACAGGGCATACAAATATTCTTTTATTTAGAATTTTTTCCCATAGAACTAACTCCGTGGCATACGTTTTTATGACGTATTTACAGTTATTAGTATTTAAGAAAGTTATATACAGGGTGGTCTGAATTGGGGGCAAAAATAGTTTTTTCATAATTTCAAAAAAATAACTTCTAGATTTTGCTTTCAAATTTGATAACTATTATCGCCACTTAAAATAAATTTATAGCTTAGATAAACTTGTTTTCGCAAAACCAGTGACTCCTGAAAAAGTTTTAATTAATTTCAATAATAAAAAAAGTAATATGTCAAAGGTTTATGCCAATTTTATTACTAAATTTAAATAGCCGAATCAATTCTAAAATAAATATTCTCTTCAGTTTTTTCGTTAAAACGAACCGTTTTCGTACCAATTTCATTATTACTTAAATTGATTAAATTAATTTTCCTACTCCCGTCTGTAAAATACCTAAATTACGCACTGATCTAGCGCGCTGAAAGCATCACTTTACCACGTGAGTTTCTTGTCCCACGGATCCGAGCCACTTCGGACATTTTCGGGATTTTATTGCACAGGTTTGAGAGCAATCGGATGTTTTCGGAGATATTTTCCACGCCTTGAATTTTGACGTTTGTCAATTCTGACGGTCATAGCAGTGAATGCATTCGTGTTGTTTTGCAAAAGTGTACCCAAAAACTAGCGGTCGTAGAAAAAGTATAGTATGCAACACGTTCGGTAAACTTTTTAAGTCACTCGTTTATTAAAGACTCGTTCCGTTGCACTCCGCTGCGCTCCGCTAGTGTCAAATAAACTTGTGAGTCAAATGCCGTTTACCGCACTTGTTACATAATATACTATTTTAAATGGCCATATAACCTACCAAGTTTGAAAGCAAAATCTACAAGAGATTTTAAAAAAATACTAATAATTTGTAGCAATGTTTCAATGTTTTTTTTCTCTTATTTTCATCTGCTGAATGCGTTGTTAATTCGGACCACCCTATATTTGTTAAATCTATTTACAGACCATAGACATTGTTCGTTCTTGGCCGTTTATCAAAATTGCCATGCAGTTTTTTCCAGATACCACCAATTAAATTGCAATTTTCGAAAATTGTAATAGTTCAGTAGTAGGGCATGACTGATAATAATCAAACAACAACTTAGCAAATACAAAATAACCTACGCGACTGCATTCTACAGAAAATAAATATTTTGCTTTCTTTTAAAATGCCGCGTATCTCAAAAACAAAAGGAGCTCTGAAAATCTTATTTAAGACGTTTTTATTTTCACGAAAACGTAGCCTTATTTTGGTTGCTTTATATTTAAAAATAACCAAGATTCTCTTCCCAAAAAATGGGACACCGATTCAGTCAGTTAACTAAAGAAGAGTTCACCTGAACACATAACCGGTGGAGTATAGTTTCGTACGGATAAAATACGACGTCAGCTACGAAGTCAGTGATCAACGGAGCGAGCAGCTCTATGTCCTCCATCACTTCTAGAACGGCTTCCTCTCGCAATTCTTTCGTGTAATAGAAATTCTGTGCCGGTGAACACTTCAGCTGCATAAGTACAGTAACGGCTTTTTGCATCATAGGCGTAAACCAACTTTTAGCCAAGCCGAACGCGACTGTAGGTACAATTAAGACCCACACTGGCAACAATCTCACTTTTGTCGGAACTTTTCGCATTACTAACCTTCCCAGCGGTTCCATTAATATATACGATATCGATAACCGTTCGTTGCCGGTGTGAGTTTGGACCGTTTGGATCAAAATGGCCGGATAGAACGGCGCCAGCAGCCCCAAACTGACACTGAAAGAGACACTAACTAATATAAAGAAGGTTCGATGTAGAAGACACTCACCACTTTAAGATGACGTGACTGTAGAATTCTTTCAGTGAACTGTGCAAGCTGATTTCTCTTAAAAATTAAAGGATTATAATGTAATGAAATTGCTCTTTGTTGCTTCGAAAGCAAGAATATACGGTATTATCAAAAAGGAAAATTTGTGGGTTTCATTGTTATTAAACACTGGGTATTAAAAACAAACCTACCAAAATGTTTAACTTTTACTTCTACTAGTGCTATTTAGCTCCGAACATGTAACAAGCTTGTTATGCCAATAAGAAGGCTGATTGATTTCAACTTTTTGTAAGTAAGTTTGAGGAGGTGAAGATATCTTAAAGATTTAAACTTCAGAGGTTTCTTTTTGTGTATAAAGCTGTATCTACTTGTTGGGTTGTTCGTTTGAGACTAGAAAATCACTAAAGGCTCGTTACCGTAACAATTTCGTGTCGTACTTGAGAATATCTTGCTCGTAAGTTTGTGTTTTTAATTATATTTTTAAAAAATAGATTAGCGTGAGGTCCCAGCTTTTCTAATTGCGTATAAGGCTGCTCAAGTAAAAAAAATAGAGCGGTAAGACAATCGGTGTATCGACGAAATGAACGGATATCTGCAGTATAATTTTAACTGCTTTTAAATTTACCGGCTTCAGTTACGTGCAGTATTAAATAAGAAAAATTGATGCAGATAAACACTGAAAATTAACAAATCAAGTTCTCCAAATTTCAAATACTCTTCCAAAAATGACACTTACTTAGAGACTCACATAATGATAGTTTAAGGTTGAATATTATATTGGCAGATTCAGTTGACATATTCTCTCAATTGGAGATTAGTATTCATCCACAATCTCAGATTTTTTGATTTTTAATAAAGAAAGAAAGAACTTTTTACAAAGACTCTTAGTATCAATAGCATCAAACGCTTGGCTACAATCTAACGGAATAAGACACATTTTTTAGTAAGTGCGGTATAATACTAGATCTCCTATATTTATTTTTATTTGGAAAAAAATGCATTAATAATTTTGCATTGCAAAAATATTTAATAAAGATCAGACAATAAAAATGTATATGCTTTTAAATGGAATTCCCTATATATTTGAAACCGTAATTATTGCTGAATTTTCATTGCAAACTTTCGGTCCGCAGCTTTTATAATACCAAATATGGACTTTATGTATTACTAAGTTTATCGAGCCACCATCAAGACATCTATAAAACGTTCTTTCACTAAAAACGGAAATTTTGCAGCAAATAAACCAGCCGCAATGCACATGTAACGAAAATGAAATGTGAGAGTGTATCAAAAATTACCACGAAATGGTTTAAAAACTTTTCTATCTCGTTATCGTTATTACATCACATTCTCCCAGATTATGGCTTTGTGCATTGTGCATTCTGATGATGATTTCTTTCACCAATATGAGAATCGCCCATGTTCATCTCCCTCGTTTAGCTCCGCTTCCCTCAGATAGTATATATGAGCAGCAGCAAACCAGTTTCAGTTAAGCTTTAAAGAAGTTAACAGGATGAGCAAGTTCGGTTTGTCAACTACCGACACAGGAGGAATCCAGATGATTTGAAAAATTACTATCTCGGAAACTGTAAAGCTCTGTCGAAGGAATTTTAATTCCCCAAAATTTATTATAGATATTTAGAACTCACTTTGGCCAATTGGTTCTTGTAAAAAGCAAGTCTTCGACGTAAAGCTGCAAAGCTCTGGCCAAAAGCACAGCGCTGCATCCTTTCCAGAAGCTGCTCACTCCCTGCGTTTGATACAAACGGAAAACAATCCGGATTAGTCTGGTGACACACGGAAATACGTTGTACCGCACCGAATGATTGTGCAACTAGAAACCTGTTCATAGGGCTAGGTTGTTTAAAACGCGAATGTAAATTCTTGCCTGACATTGTCGCTGGAACACGCGGAACGGATGGGTGACTACATGTCTAACAACGAAATTTACATAATTTATGGCAGATTTTCTCAGGCGGGCATCGCTTACACCTGAAACCGAGTATACGCTGTGAAAGCGACTTCGCTTTACATCAACCGGATTGCCTTTCTTGATGGGGGATTTGTGAGTTTCATAATAAGGTTTCCAGAGCTGAAAAAGTCGCACGCAGTCTTTGTGTGGGTCCAGTTTTTCGAAATTTCGTTCCATGTGCTCCGCGATTAGCTCTTCCGATCGGCTTTCGGCTGGATCGTTTTCTTTTAATCGTTTAAATTCGGGAATTTTTACCGCTTCCAGCATCGTGTCCATAACCTAAATTGCACCGAGAGTGTAGACGTCCCCGACGAATAGCAAATATACGTATACCGTTTTAACCGGAATTTGCAAGCAATCGTATAACGGTGAAATTTACATTTTTGATTGCCTTGAATTCAGAAATATGACATTGACAACTCTAACTCGGTCAGGCTGACCTTTTGATGAGTCGACATTTCTCTAGCAAAATTTAACAGCGCAGCCAAAATACAAACTAAAAGTTACTAAATAGGAGCACTTATTTTTACTTATTTGTGTAATAGGCAACTTGCAGTTAATTTCTTACCTGTTAAAAATATTCTTCTTTTATAATTTTACTCACATTCGAAGATGAAATCGCCGTAAATCGGATTTGGTGTCAGGATGGACTATTGTGATGCGAACGAGGTTAAAACATTTAAATAAATAATAAATAGATGTTGATTGACTACTCTACAAATACTAAGTTAAGAATTTACAGAAAATAATTTTAAAATTGTTTTAAATAAATAAAAAAATGATTCCAAAAGCAGAAGTTCTAGTCGATAATATTATGCTCACTAGTTGTCTAATACATTTTTGTTAAATGTTTTAAATAGTTTGAATCCATCTTTTTATTTTTGATTTAAAATTTGTTTTTTAAATTTTTTATTTCAACATGTTTGGCAGGGTGTTGTAAGCTCTCAGGGCATAGTTCTGAGAGCATTATTGTCCAATTGTTTTAAATTTTTTTGGTAAATTTGCTATGCCTTGATTTTGTCATTTTAAGATTATTGTCGTGATATAATTTTTTATATCTTCTTTCGATATCTCTGTAGCTTCAATACGATTCAGCGGAAAGTTTTTTATGTAAGGATTCATACAAACGTAATAAGAATAGGGAAATAAACTAACCTATAACTTAATGTCTAAATCTGATTTTTGCGTTTGCCCTCCTTGCCTATGCCGATCTAAACAATTCATTCTCGCAAATCACCAAAACAAAGAACTAGATCTAAAATGGAATGGCAATATGATAGACAAACGAGGCAAATTTTACATTAAAAAACAACTGCCATTAAGGGGGATTGTTGTCTTTCTCTTGCTCATTTATTTGATAGGGTGAATGTGGGTGTTCTCGTTGTTATAATTGCTTTATTTGATGTGCATAAAATATTATCTTTAATCCTTTTAAAAAAATTAAATCTAACTTATTTAAAAACTTTGGAAAAAAACCTGTTTTTCCGAGAATAGAAGTATATATTTTTTCAAAGAATTATTTCCAAAAAGGCAACGAGAAAGGATTTTAGGGAAACGAACTGTCGAACTGTCCTAGAAATGTGGTAAGTAAATCGCCCAATTGTTGTATTAAATTTTAAAACTCGGTTTCTACAAAAATTTCTAATGTAGGACATAGTTACACTGAGTTAAAGTTGAGAAAATTTGAAATCTCTTTTGTTTAATGCTTTTTGCTGTATCTCTGCAAGCAATGTGGTGGAGGTATTCGAGTATTTACTTAAATAAATGTCCGTATCTCCAAAAAAGCTTAACACAATTAAAGAAACTTGTCGTTAAAAAAAAGCGTTTGTGCCTGCTTACCTTGCCACCAAGTGGAGTTTTCTGACATACTCGGGCAACAATTCTGAATAAACAATAAATGCAAAGACATGAGCCCAACAACCCAGTGAATACCGCATCTCAACATCTTTATCCTGGCCTAAACTATGGATAAAATAATTTTATGCTTTTCGTTATTGTCAGGTAGAAAAATTGCGAAGTAATATAAAAGAATCTCTTATTACATTTATCGGTCATTAGTTTTAACGAATAAGACAAAGGGAAGAACCTCCACTGCTATACGTCTCACTATATATAACCCTTGTCACACAAAATCGATATTTAGTTGGAGTTCATCTTTTTCTGACTTTTGCAGCAGTTAACATATATATAAGTGAAAATATTAAGGACACATTATATTATGCAACAAGTGCGGTAAACGGCATTTGACTCACGAGTTTATTTGACACGAGCGGAGCGAGTGTTTAATAAACGAGTGACTTTACTTTTTCTACGACCGTTAGTTTTTTGGTACATTTCGCAGAACAACACGAATACATTCACTGACATGGATGTCAGAATTGACAAACGTCAAAATTCAAGGCGTCCGAAGTATCTCCGAAAACATTCGATCGCTGCCAAACCCCGGTGGTAAAATCCCGGAAATGTCCGAAGTGGCTCGGATCTGTGGGAAACGAAACTGACATGGTAAAGCGACGCTTCCCGCACGCTAGATCGGTGTGTAATTAGGAATTTTACAGACGGGAGTAGAAAAATACTATTTCCTATACAAAGGAAAATCTATAGAGATCATCAATTTCATAACTTTAAAACTAACCAAAACTAACGTCTTGACACTTTATATTAATTAATAAGTTGAAAAAGGTGTTAAGTTTGAAAAGCTCTGCGCACTGCAGCTCCTGGTTACTCTTCGTGGTTATGTCTTTCTTATACAACAAAGAAAAAAATTCAATAGATTCGAGTTATATTTTGCAGGCCATCTCATGGATCCATGATTTGGAATTCAGTTATTTCCAAATGTGCTATGGCAAACCATTCTGTAAGAAACAAGTTTGGCAAATTCGATACAAAGGCCAATTTGCCCTTAATGCAAGACGTAACGCTCAAATGGTAATTTTCGTAAGAAAATTTAGGTTTTGTTTAATTTTAAAAATAAAAAAGTCTCATTTCTTAAATTTAATTTGGTCCACCCTGTACGCGGATATGTAAATCGACCAAAAAAAATAGACGTCGAGCCAGAATCCTTTATCGTTTGAAACGTTTAGTCCCTCTCGAAAAGATTGACACTTCAATTCGTTTCGCTCCGTGCATGTAACTGTACTCGACAAATCGTAAAATGAAAAGTCAACTAATTATTCACGAATATTTGTCAACCTTCGTATGCAAGTGCGCTGTTTCGCCCGATGACGCTATAAAAAAAATGTTTTATTTCGCACGACTCGCGCCCAATAATTCGGGTTGTCGTTTATAATTTGAAGATTAAGCAGGTCGAGTCTGTATGCAAGTTAAACCCGATTTGTGAGAGATTAAGGTTGTTGCGTGTAGTCAATATAAAAAACTTTGCTCACCACTTGTGGCTTTGGGGGGTGTCTTGTTTGTATTGTCTGATGAAATGATAATAATACTTAAATCAACTAGATTTTCATTGATCACATTTGAAGTCACACAAATACAAATAAAAATTAAAAAATCTTCAAAACCTTCGAAAGAAATTAGAGAATCAGTATCAAAAAATACTGATAAGATTAAATTCAGGTCGATAACGTTCTGAGAGTTATCGCTGCACAAAAGATTATCCTTCGAATCTTTTTTATTTGTGCGTCGATCTCTACTGCTACTGCTACGAAAACCAATCTAACAGTGAAAACGCAAGCGATTTAATGTGTCAATATGATTTGTTGAAAAATGCACAAGAGATGATATCAATTGAATTGGTGCCTTGAGTGAAAAATCTATATATCTAATTGTGAAGACTAATGCCGGGATAGACATAACAGATAAAATTGTGCGATAAAGTGGTAAATTAATGAGCCGTTGGCAAATACATCTTACAAATGGGATATCAGATGTATAAGTTGGTTTCTACATCATCCTTAAGATAGAGCCTACGTATATTGACAGGCTAACAAAAACTATATACATACAATTTGAGGCAGCATAACGGGCAACTTTAAGAAGTCCGCTGTTCTCGCCGTTTCATTCGGAAGTACGCTATCAGTCAGATTTTCTTGATGTTAGCATTTAATAATGGAGCGTTCGATCCCTTAGGAGTGCGTTTACGCTGTTAAGGAGTTTTATTCTTATTTACACGAGCGTCGTGCCTTTCGAAATCATTTTAACACAAATCACAATTAGCCATTTGACGTTGTGTTAATATATTAAAAATAAACATAATATGTCTGCGAATATTTTATACGGATTGGAATGGCATGCAAAGCAAGTACGGATGTTTTTTATTAGCAAATATATTGGATAATTTAATTTTGTTAGTTTAACATTGAATGATATGTTTTGCTAAGATCTTTATAATCGGTTTTGTAATTAATTGATTTTTGGTTTTTTAAATTTCTATACTTTCATAAAGTTCTCTTTCTTTGGTGTTAGGTTCTGTTAGTAGGACTTTAACTTTTTGAAAACGAAATGTGTGTTTGGTGTTCTCGCAATGGGTATGAAGAGCTGTTTTATTTTGTTTGTCAAACTTATGTCCGTTGATTCTATTTTTTAAATATTGGCTTGTTTGTCCTATATACGCACTGTCGCAATTAGAGCATGGAATTTCATATGCTATATTCCTTCTTTTTTCAACTGGAATTTTTGCTTTGGGTTTAGTGAAGAGATATGTTTTATAACTTTTGTGTCCTATTTGAATTTTGTGTTCCTTGAAAATGGTTTGGAGTTTTTCTGTTTATATATATATATATATATATATATATATATATATATATATATATATATATATATATATATATATATATATATATATATATATATATATATATATATATATACATATATTTTTTTTTTCAACAAATCATATTGACACATTAAATCGCCTGTTAGACTGGTTTTCGTAGCAGTAGCAGTAGAGATCCACGCACAAGTAAAAAAGGTTCGAAGGATAATCTTTTATGCAGCGATAACTCTCAGAACGTCGTCGACCTGAATCTTATCAGTATTTTTTGATACTGATTCTCTAATTTATTTCGAAGGTTTTGAAGATTTTTTAATTTTTATTTGTATTTGTGTGACTTCAAATGTGATTAATGAAAATCTAGTTGATATAAGTATCATTATCATTTCATCAGACAATACAAACAAGACAAAACAAACAAGACAAATGTACCAAAAAACTAACGATCGTAGAAAAAGTAAAGTCACTCGTTTATTACACACTCGCTCCGCTCGTGTCAAATAAACTCGTGAGTCAAATGCAGTTTACCGCACTTGTTGCATAATATACTGTGGGTTATATATAGTGAGACGTATAGTAGTGGACGTTCTTCCCCTTGTCTTACTCGTTAAAACTAATGACCGATAAATGTAATAAAAGATTCTTTTATACTACTTCGCAATTTTTCTA